ATGTGTATATATATATATATTCATATATGGTATAACCTGAAGAGTTCTGGTGATGAGAATAAGAACTCTCTCTCTACATATATATATATATATATATATATATATATGTATATATAGATATACAAACATATATATATATATACTATTATTATTTGTATTATATATGCTTATATATATATAAACATTATATATATATATATATATACATATATATAGATATATTTTATTATGTATGATATTTTGTTATATATATATATATACTATATATATATATAGGACATACATTTACATGACTTTAGTATAGTTGCCAATCAAGCACTCAACACCACCAAGCCCTAAAGCCTGAACGGGGGATGAGGGTGGGGCTCAAAGACGTAAAGAGGCAAGATTGACCACACTATTCTAAACTGAGACATGAGACAACTACTAAAATGCAGACCGTACACACCATGAATAATCCTTCTATAGATTCTATAGGGTTTAAGATCGAGTTTGATGCAAGAACACCCAACCGACCGAAGCCCATCCAGCTTTTCTGCAAGACTCTGCACGTTCACAGGGCGATCATGATCGCGCTAATTGCATCAAAGCCAGCCGCAAGCTGCTCAAAAACGGTAGCAACTGCTCCTCAGGAAAGAAGGCCGACTGCCATCTTCCTCTTCGGCCGCAGGCGCTCACCGCTGCGCTGAAAGAAATCACATCACCTGGGGCTAGTCGACTTTGAGAAAGGCGTTGGGTTTAGGGTGTCGGATCCTCGCGCGCCCTCAGGGTTTAGGGTCTAAGGATATTTGGGTTCTGGGTTTCGGGTGTAGGGTTTGGGGGGAAGATCAGTTTTCCGAAACGCCCACCTCGTAGACGATCTACGGCCATAGCTTCCAGCAGGAGCAGTGTCGGTTGCCACTGCCCTGCTGCTTCACATGCAATGAGTGCAGAGTTGTAAGTTACCAGATCCAGTCTCCAGCGACGTTCTCGAAGTTCCTTCACCAGGTAACAGCTCTTCTCCCAACTGTGACCTCGCCCATGGGCAGAAACCTCGGTTCTTCTTGGTACGGAATTCAATTTAGGCTACCATCATAAGGAACCATATCCCAGAGGCTCCATATAAAGTACCATTATAGAATTAGGCCCCTAAAACCTTAATAAGGATGGTCTTTTGGGACCTAATTCCATAAGGATACTATATGTGGAGCCTCTAGGTACTATTTACCATAGATCCCTGCCATGGTAACTTGTATCAAACCCCTTATATTATGAACCATATTATTTACCATAGAACATAGATCCCTGCTATGGTAACTTAGTATCAAATTCCTTATATATAATGGGCACCTAGCAGCTGCAGCTCCATAGCTGACGATGTCTGGCTGAAGTTTCTGCTGGTAGATACCCTCCTTACTTCCCCAATAAGCCAGGGAAATAAAAGGCTAAACTTTCGAATTGCTACTGCCAAAATTAAGAACCCACAAAGTTTGAAGGTTAAACCCTAAACCCTAAACCCTAAAACCTTAAACCCCCAAACCTAAACCCTACACCCTAAACCTAAAGGTTGGGTATTGGAGAACTAAGCCTCCATGATTTCAACTGACCGGTGCCACTCGCCGCCCTCCGTGAGGGCGGCCATAGCTGCGTTGTAGGTGACCTCATTCGTATAAGTTTAGGGTTTAGGGTTTCGGGTTTAAGGTTTCGGGTTTAGGGTTTCCGGGTTTCGGGTTTAGGGTTTACGGGTTTGGGGTTTAGGGTTTAGGGTTTACGGGTTTGGGGTTTAAGGGTTTAGGGTTTAAGGGTTTCGGGCTTCGAGTTGAGGGTTTTAGGGTTTGGGGTTTAGGGTAAAAGACTGGAATGCAGACCTGTCAACTGCGAAGTTGCCTTCGACTGACCCGCTACAGTCGCACCGAAGCTTCTAGAACCAAAGAACCTAAGCCCTAAACCCCAAAAACCCAAAACCCAAACCCCTAAACCCAAAACCCTAGGCACTGTCACATACACTTAGGCTTCAAAGATTCAGTACAGGTGCCATACCCAAAGTATATACTAATTATGTACATACATGGAGCCTTTGGAACTACACCGATACTAAACCCCCTAATAAAAAAAAAACTCAAGGTTTGTAAACCCTAAACGGTTTAGGGTTTAGGGCTCCCTACACCTTAAACCGCTCCTAGATTACACTTGACCAAGGACCATGCCTAAACCCTAAACCCTAAACCCTAAACCCTAAACCCCTAAACCCATGAGCTTAGCCTTTTCAGGGAAGCTGCCAAATTGGGTTGCAGCGTTCGCTGCTTCATGACCTAGGTTGGCGTTAGGGTTTAGGGTTTAGGGTTTAGGGTTTAGGGTTTAGGGTTTAGGGTTGGGGTTTAGGGTTTAGGGCCCCTAAACGCCTTTGACAAAACTTCGTTCATAAGATCCTCTTAGACCCGATGAGGGAAAATACAAACTGTCCCAAAGGCATACCTAGCGACGAACATCACGGCCATAGCTGCTCTCCAGTACAGCGCCTTGCCCCCGGCGGTAACGAGGGCGCTGTATGTAAACACATCGGCTTGTACATTGCGGCGTGCCAAACCTCAACACCAGCAGAATCGTCCAAGCGAGCGCTCTGCAGTCCAGAAATTGAGGAAACGACAGGTGGGGAGTTTAGGGTGTATAGGGCTTCTACAAGGCTTCCATAAGGTATATAGACCTTCTATTATAAGGCTCCTCCGGTAACTACCCACCTGTCCTCGACTAAAGCCTTGAACCCTAAACTGCAAAAATGTTATCAAGACCCGGAGCCCCCCAAATGTAAACCCTCAGCACGATATGGCGAGAGCTCCATGGCCATAGCTGTAGATGGTATGGCATGCAAGTGCTTCAGCTTGAGGAAAGACATCATTAGTGATTGCTCCGAACCCAAATTGTACCTTGTAATTGTAGGGTTTCGGGTTTAGGGTTGAGGGTTGAAGGATGGTGCTGCGGCGGCTGCTGCTGCTGCTGCTGGTGCTCTCGCTCTCGCTCCTGCTGCTGCTCTTGCTGCCGTTGTTTGGTCTTGTGGAGCAGCATCCTCCAGAACTAACCAGCTTCAGCTTCTGAACCCAGACCCGATAAGAGCAAGGGCCCACGTACTTAAGAAGTAGATGTGTAGGCACAAAGGCACCACCTAGGCTCCCGAGACACGTATCCGTAAAGCCCTAAGCCCTAAACCGTGCGCCCTGCACGCCTTGCAGAAGAGCCAGCGCCTCTGTCCATGCTACCCCCTTCTCGCACGAACCTGGCTGCTTGTGAAGGAACGTAATATTTTCAGCAGCCTCAGCGACGATATATCGTGAGTGCTACTTTTTTGTTTACTCGTACAAACAACTTTTTACTTAGAGTACACAGAAACATGTGCCATTATCATATGAAAGGCAGTCGTAAACCATACATAAGCTTATCATGTTAACGGTACCCGGAAGCATGCGCCACCGGCGCTCTACGGTCGTATAAACCCTAAACCCTAAACCCCAAACCCTGAACCCTACACCCTAAACCCCGCAACCCTAGACCCTAAACCCTAAACCCCCAAACCCAACCAGCTCTAAAAAGCCCTACACCCCTGCACCGTGCAAGCTCTAAGGAGTCCTACGGTTGATGTAGGGTTTAGGGTTTAGGGTTTAGGGTTTAGGGTTTAGGGTTTAGGGTTTAGGGTTTAGGGATAAATCCTGCATTACCCATGATAAGGCAATATATATAGGGTTTGAGATTTAGAATTTAGGCTTTATAATTCCCATAGTTTAGGTTCCTTAAGGAAAATGCAGGATTTCTATCATCACCAGTAGGACCTAGACCCGAAAATCCCAAGTTCTTTAATCGAAATCCAGCAGCTGACCGCCGCACTGCAGCTGATGACGCTGGGCCGAAGTTGCTTGGTGGCAACAGTCTCAAAGACCTTGCTTGGAGGGTCGGGGGACCTCTGTAAGCAGGTAATAAGTAGACTTCTAAGTACCTAAAAGTGACCTTAATTGGAGTTATGATACTTATAAGCCTATAAAGTAACTACTTACTAAGTCCACCGACCCTCCAAGTGAACCCAGACAAGGCTTCAGGGTTTACGGTTGGGTCTGTGAGGTTTGGGTTAAGGGTCCGGGATTTCTAACCCCCCCCCTCTTCTCCGAAGGCACCTTTAACGCCTCGTTCCACTGTGCACGCTTCTCGCAGGCACTGATGGCAGAGTTGTAGGAGGCAATATCCGGATCCGGGAGCGTTTCTGCTTCACCTTCATATCTGTTCCAAGCCCTACGGGTCCATGTATTCCCTCGGAGTATACTTTGACCCTAAAGTATCCAGATAGGGACTACATTCAGGCCTAAGTATATACTATTTGGGCACATGGACCCTTAGCAAAGTGTAGGGGTTTAGGTTGGAAATATCCGGATGCGTGAGAGCTTGTGCTTCACCTTCAGGGTTCATGGAACGGTTTAGGGTTTAGGGTTTAGGGTTTAGGGTTTAGGGTTTAGGGGTAGATGATTAGTGTACAGTACCTGCTGTGTTTGGTCTTGGGTTTTCTGGTTTAGGTGTTTATGTCACAACTCTTAATATCGAGTTTCGTCAGGCATTGCGTGGGTTCTCTAGGCCTGTTTGAAGCGAACCGCTGCACAAAAGAACCCCAAAAGTTCAAGGTCCGAGTGGCCTTCATAGCTCGAATCGGGATTCATTTGTAGTATGCCATGGATATAACAGGGACTAGTTGTTCAGACCCCTATCCCAAAGGGTCCGATTTCCCAAATACTGAGGTTATAGGCTCCAAAAACCGTTCAGGATGTAGAACTTCAGACCTAGACCTAGAACTCCACTACTATACGGGTATTTTAGGGTATATGCAAGAGCAAAGTCACAGCCAGACTCCAGACTGGAGACGGCCAGCCGCCAGTTTCTGCCTCTGACGCATGCGCTGATTGACCTGTTGTGGCTCTCAAAGGATCCAAGTAACAGTAAGCAACAGTAAGCAACAGTGAGCAACTGTAAGTCAGTAAGTAACAGTATAGTACAGCCTATGCTTTTGGGCTTTCGGGGCCCGAATCTCTGCGAAAGAAAGCTACTATATTGGTACTCCGACCTGTTGTAGCTGACCACAGATGGTTGCGCATGCTGATTCCGGAGCTCTTGTATCTCAAGAACGGAAGCCATCCATGAGCCGCCTCTGCTCTCCGACCCAGTTGCGGCATTTGTGCCCTTCGGCACATATGTGGGCATCACACCATGAAAGCTGCGGGTTTCTCCAGGCTACTCACGGGACGAACCTATCGATTAACACAATTCTTTATCAAGTACTTCAACAAGTTCAAGGTTTTGTGTGCAGAACGTTTAATGCAATTTATTAAGATTAATGTCGGCGGAAACTGGGTGTCTGCCGGGATGGTGATGTGCATTGTTTACAACGTGCATCAGTGATCATCAGTGGTTGAAGAAGCCTGCGAATTTGCTTTAATAATGGAGCTTTAGAATTACGAAAACCCTGGTACCCATTACCCACAACAAACCCCATGCGAGCAACGTCAAACCAACAACTTAACCTCAACAAGAGCCGTGTAAACCCACAAGAGCTATCTGAGCCGGCAGCTGCGAAAGGACAGCAAAGATACATTGCATTGAGTTACATTACATTACATTACATTACATTACATTACATTACATTACAATACAATACATCACATTAAGTTGTAACTACACTACACTACATCACATTACACTACACTACACTACATTACACTACATTACATTACACTACATTACATTACACTACATTACATGGCATTACATTATGTTATGCTGTATTACCCATGCTCCCGCTCCGAAGCTAGAACTAGGACGTTTCAATTGCTCTGGGAATGAGAAGTACAGTAGTAGTACAGTTGTCGTATAGTAGGTGGGTTTAGGGTTTTGAGTGAATGAGTGAGTGAGTGAGTGGCCTGGGGTGCACTCCGGCCGCACGGAAAAGTTCCCTCCCACCATCTTTTCCCCCCTCCGTTTTCGTCATCGGAGAGATCCGGGCAAGGGGGGTGAGTTTAGAGTTCAGGGTTAGGGGCACTGCTATATAGAGCTGCTTACGGAGGGGGTTAACCTCGAAACGATGATAATGATAACCATCAAGACCGAAAACCCTTCATCTTGAACAGGATATGGCCGTCTGGATTACCCTAAGGGTCCATGTACCCAAATAGTATATACTTAGGCCTTAGTGTAGTTCATATATAGGTACTTTAGGGTCAAAGTATACTCATACGGATACATGGACCCTTAGGGTTATGTGGAGGGTCAGCCAGAGTGTGAGCTTGAATTGTTCGCTGGAATGAATAGCTCTACATATCTACGTCTTCAAAGTGGCAGAGAGTAAGGGGAGCTGTCCATGTTAGGATCCCCGCGTGAATGCCAAAAAGGTATGCGATAAATGCTGGTTGAGAGCTCAAGGTTCAGGAAATCTCGCCGATCTAGCTGATGTAGGGGCGTTAGTAACCGTTAGTAACTAGAATAGGGTTTTGGGGCCCCTTCTACGATAATTATAAGAAGGATCCCCCAGAATAGTATTTGATAATTGTTTAGGCCCCTATATTACTGGCACCCGTTTGCCCTTTTTCTTTTTGGGTTCCCTTAATAAACCCAAACAGTATGAAAAAGGGTACCCTTGTTCTTTAGGCCCAAATATTACTGCACCGACAGCTCGGCTACTCTGATGGTGGACAACGGAGCAATTCGTCCAACAGAGCCGGGACCTGAAAATATGGCGCAATCATGAATGGACCCTTATCCCAAAGGCTCCATATTGGGGGGTTAAGGGGGTTCAGGGTGTTCAGGGGCTTTCGGGTTCAGGAGTTTAAGGTTTGGGGGTTTAGGGCTTAGGAAACTCCAGGTGGGGAGTTTAGGGTATATAGGGCTTCTATAAGGCTTCTAGAAGGTATATAGACCTTCTATAAAGCTCTTATAACGGTAACTACACACCTGAAAATAGGCTCCACATATAGTACCATCATGGAATTAGGGACCGAAAACCTTCATAAGGATGGTCTTTTGGAACCTAATTCCATAACGGTACTATATTTGTAGCCTCTGGGTTATAGCCTTATCGGACGTCTTTCCATCACAACCCCTGCAACAATCAAAGCACAGCACGTCACAGATTTGTAAAGAAGCGTGACAGAGACCTAACACCACAGCAACACAAGCTCCACACCTCAAGCCCTACAACCCAAAAGCCCTAAACCCTGCAAGCACTGTATAAAACTGACTCCCAAGCACAAAGCCACCTCGGCACCCTTCGGGTCAGCAAGCAGGATGCTGCTCTGGATGAAGACATTATGCCTCGGCTTTGGGTATATGGGTATGCCCTAAAGACCTTCCTCTCAGGGTTCAAAGATTTCATCCCTCTCAATACCTGACCTCTAAACGGCCCAAGTATAAGTGACCAAACATCAGTGCATTGGGGCCCCAAACCCGAAACCCTTAACCCCCAAACTCTGTCTCATATTGTGCTCTGACTGGTTTTTGGCTACCGGAAACCTCGGGGCCTCGAACCACTAGTTTCCTAAACCTATGTACTCTGGGGGCCTTAATGATTAAATTACAATGTACGCCAAAACACGGATCCTCAGCCTCCGGAGCGAACACGTGGGTGTATGTATGTACGTATGTATGTACCTGTACACATAGGCATTAGACTCAGGTAATAAAGGGGTCTGCGTAATTAGAATAGTCTTGGGGGACATTATACCACAGTCATAAGAAGATACCCCCCAAAATAGTATAGGTAATTATTTTCCCCCCTTCATTAGACTAGCGACCCGTTGCTTCATCACCAGCTGCTCTGCAATCCTGCTATCACACGAACTTTCGTTTTCGCCGGCGCCGACTGAAAATCGCAAGGGTATGTTGAAACGGACCAAGCGACCCCCAAAAGGTTGACGACCGGGTCCAATGTATGGCACCAAATTATTACAGATCCGGTACTGTCCACCCTGAAACCTAGACCCTCGGCTGCGGTTCCTCTGATTCGGGCAGGTTTGGCGTGGAGGGACAGCAGGTCGGTCCTCATGTCATTCTTTAGCGTGCACTGTCAGTCAGTACGACACCGGAAATGGTATGCATGAGTCATAGTTCTTCTGACGAGGCAACGATCGCTAAAGGGCCTTTGACTTTCACACTAATTTTGAAACTTTCTTCCCGGAGCTCTAGACGTCAGCAACCTGTATAGTAGGTTTTTGGGTTATATCTGGCACAAAGCACATCAAAACCCCGTTCTAATCACTAAGGCGCTCTACAAACTAGGTTGCTAGATTCCCTGTACGTATAACATATGCCATGGTCTTCGCAAAGGCTCACAAGGCCCCGGAGCAAGTCAGGCGTGGTCCTATAGAGCAATCCTACAAAGCTTCGCGCAACCCTACAAAGCCCTACGAACCTCAAAATCCAAACCTACAAAACCCTGGGCTTTGTTAGTAAACCAACTGGTGCTCTAGTATGATAAACCCTAAACCCTAAACCCTAAACCCTGGGGTTCGCTTGGTTCTGAAAAGTGTTGCCAAGCCAGGAGTCGTTGGCGCTGCGACCCAAGAACTCACTCGGTTTAGGGTTCAGGGTTTAGGGTTTAGGGTTTAGGGTTTAGGGGGTTCCCCGATTATTATGCCCCACAAACACCGGCACTTGCGGGTGTTGGGTTTTTGGGGCAAGTCAAATCGCCGTACTCATTGGGAGCTTAACTTACCCTAAGGGTCCATGTAGTCATATGGTATATACTTGGGCCTTAAAGTAGTCCCTATATAGGTACTTTGGGGTCAAAGTATGCTCATATGGATACATGGGTTGAGTGGGTGAACTATACTATGATGTATGTTTGGGCAGGAGGACATCCGATAAACAGCCACCGGCCGCATGGCGATGCGATATTAACCCTACACCCTAACCCGAAATTATGGCATGTGGGTTACCTTAACCCCAAATAACCTACCCTTTTTAGGACTTCTATAGGGAAGTCATGTTAAGGAACCCAAAAAAGGTAGGTTCTTAAGGGTCCAGGTAGTGGTTTAGGGTTTAGGGTTTAGGCTCGTAGAATAAACCCCGAATCCTTGCAGCTTTTCCCGAATTCATCCGAGAATGCCTTCTCTAGGGTTGCTGGTATCTGTTTAGAGTTTAGGGTTTAGGGTTTAGGGTTTATGATCTCAACTTGAAACTGGCCACGAACCAAAACTCTTGACATAAGGAGTGCTGCCCAGACCTTCCAAGCTCCATTCATTAAGTAAGGAACATACCTTAAATCATATGAGGGATCCTATTAGAATTTAAACTATACTCCTTAATTAAGGGGTTTTGGAAACTCTGGGTGGGGAGCCCTAAACCCTAAACCCTAAACCCTAAACCCGTACATTTCTCCAACCCTCATAAGATCGGGCCCTGAAAGAACCGCTCAACTTTGGGGCTGAGCCCCAGCCCAAAAAAGGGTTTAGGGTTTAGGGTTTAGGGTTTGGGGTTTAGGGCTTAGGGTTTAGGGTTTTGGTTAACCTTTTCAGTTATGGTAGGATCATATAAGCCCCAAAAGGTTAAAGGTTATATACTCAGCCACTAAGTCAAAGAAGCCTTGCAAAGGAGACCCATTCTACTTGTCGAGGCCCGCATCTTCAGCGCCGTTTAGTAAACCATAAGAGAAGAATGCGTTGAATACCCCCCTGGAGTTCTCGAGCTTTTGTACTGCTATTGTAATAAGCCATTACAATAGCAATATACAAAGAAGAAGAACCCCGAACCCTCAACCCTGAACCCTAAAGACCCTAAGAGCACACAAGTCTTATGGCAACTTTCGAGCATGCTCAGGGGGTCTCAGAAGAGGGAGACTGACCGTTTGGAGGCCTCCCAGACGGTTTCTGGCTTCGGGCTGAGGGGGGGTTTGGGGTTTAGGATTTGGGGTTTGGTAAATTTAGGGTTCAGGGTTGGGTTTCAGAAGTTGGGGCTTGGGGTTTGTGGGTTTAGGGTTTGGGGTTTAGGGTGTCAGGCTTAGGATTTAAGATTTGTGCGCGTCGTTGCGCTCCTCCCTAAACCCACCACATATGGGGGGGTTTCCTAAAATAGGGGACCCGAATATAGTACCCTAAATAGCGGGATCCGTATTATAAGGATCTCAAAATAAGGCACCCCTTATTTTCGGAAGCTCCCATACGTCTCTGGGCCCTAATGCGTCGGAGTTTAGGCCCTCAGAGCCCGAATCCCTGTAAAGCCTATGAACACCCCTCAAACAGATCAGGGTTTAGGGTTTAAGGTTTAGGGTTTAAGGCTTAGGGTTTAAACTAGGACCCTAGAATGTAGCACCTTTTCCTGAATAACTTATCCTACGGTGAGGATCCTAGCATCAGAAACCAACAACATGTACTACTCGTACATGTTTGGGTCTGGGCAGGGTGCGTAACAATACATAGAACCGGATCCACAAGCCACCATGAAATTCCGGGCAGACTCAGAGGACTCAGGAGAACAGGGAGAGAGGGCCCCATTTCGAGGCCTGCCATGCGAAGCAGCTTAGGAAACCTTCCAACTTTGGGATTCAAGGCAGTTTAGGCATATAGTGCCTTTTGCAGGGTTTGGTAAGTAAGGCTTGCGCTAAAGGGGTTTAGGGCCTATAGGATATGTTATCTAGGGCATATATAGGGCTTTCGAAGGCTTTGTACCATGATGTCCGCTCATGGGCCTCTCTGACTCCTCTGCTGAAAGCCCATATGGGAGTTTCCGAAACTAAGGGGTACCTTACTTTGAGGTCCTTATAAGCGTCTTCTAGAAGGATCCTACTATTTAAGGAACTTCTTTTAGGTCCACTAGTTTCGGAAACCCCCATATTGCTTCGCATGATGATTCCTATAGTACTTGTTCTCGTCCAAAAAGCGGCACCAAGCGCGAACAACACAACAAGAAGAAACAATTCACCGCACCCTGGAGCCCGAAACCATCATCCCGAGAAACTTCAACCTCTCGGCTGAACCTCAAACCCTCAACCAACATCAACCAAGCCACGCAAAATCCCTTACAAAGTCCTGTGCTGGAAGACCTATGAAGCCCTCCGAAAACCTTCTATATGTACAATTATATACATATATATATATATACACATATTTATATATTTATATTTATATAACCCACATATGAATGTATCCTCGAGCCTTTCTACAAATCTAACCTGTAACCTGTTCAGCTTCAAACCCTCGTAGCAAACCTAACAACTGCCCTTATAAGACCACTGGCAAACAAAAACATATAAACCCTGTTGATGCCCCCTATAACATCTCGACAGAATTACTTATACAACAAGCCCTTACAACCTTCCTAAGAAATCCCTAATTTTGGCCTAAACCCTAAAGACTAAGCCTTGAAGGAATCCGCGAAAAAAGGTCCTAACTGTCCACGAACCTTAACCCTACACCATAAGCCACACCTAATGCCCTATGACCACGTCTGTTTGGCCTGCTTGGGGTCGCCCTCCGGTGCTGTGCCAGGCCTCAAAGTTACCCTCAACCCCTAACCCCAAAACCTTCACCCCTAAACCTTCACCCCTAAACCTTAAACCCTAAACCCTAAACCCCAAACACTAAACCAGAAACCCTAAACCTTGAACCCTAAACCTGGAACCCTGAACCCCTAAACCCTAAGCCCCAAAGAAGCCCTACACCGTTGCTTGGGGGAGCCTTTGGGGCTTCTGGGGGCCTCGGGCCTTGTAACTATGGCAAACAAAGTACACTACGGTGTGTATTGACATCTGAAGTAGAAGTAGTAGTAGTAGTAGTAGTAGTAGTAGTCGTCGTCGTCGTCGTAGAAGTAGTCGTCGTCGTAGAAGTAGAAGTAGAAGT